ATACCGATGCTAAAAAATCAATACTTGTTTGTAAAAAGGCGAAATTTTCATCGTCGTCTGTGCTCTCATGATAAAAGGTATTTTCGGTTCGTGTCTAAATTTGACAAGTAATTTCCTTGAATAATCTTAGTTTAAATTACCCACAAGTTGTAAATGATTGAGTACAAATTCGAGAGAGGGTGAAAACATCTGGATACTTTTCCCCCTTGTTTGATTTTCCGGTAGTTCTCCCACTTTCCATGGATCGACCAATAGAGCGGCCTGTAAACTACCCCGTCGGTTCACAACCACGGCCTTCCAATCACATCTGAGGTTTTCAAAGTCAATATTTGTTACTTTATACCAGCACGAATTTGACGGCTTCGAACCCTTTCGACCGGTGAAACAATAAATGATTATTGTCTCGCCGTTTTTCAGCTAATTAAGGCCGCAGATCGGACATTGCACAATATGTACGAATACCGACACAGGATAACAGCTCTCCTCAATAATCGCTTAAGCTTTTTGACACACAAAGGACGGTTGTTAACAAGCCGAGCGTGCATAAGAGATCGTTAGTTAGCAAAACACGGCTATTGTCACCTTTTGTGTCAACAATAAGGTCTTAAGTACACCTCGAAGGGCACTTACCGACACTGCTGAATGCGACGACCGTTCACGTCCTGATACAGTGTCACACCGTCAGGTTTTACGCTCGAAAGGATAATCCCTGAATGTTGACAAATAGGGTTCTTAGGCGGCAATAGCATAAGGACTATTCAAAACACTTGATCATAATTGAGAGGCACTTAAGGTGCTATAAGAGCTTACGGAACAGATTAGAGGTATTACAGTTAAGTACCCTCAGAAGTGCAAACGTGAATTCAAAAGTGGCGAGCTCACAGAAGTGAAGTGCTTAGTTTAGCCGATTTCGACGATTTACATTTCAGAACGTTTTAGAGATAAATAGCTGAAAGCTATTTCCGCTTCAGTTTGCATAAGAACCGACGAATTGTTCTCTTCTCTTACACGAACGGTCGGTCACGAATCTCGAACGTTATTCAATCGATGGCGAAAGAAAAATACTCACATATCTAACATTATTAAACGGTTACTTTAATTTATTTATCACCGATGACAGCAAAAATTAAATAGCCACTTATCAAGACTTAATAAGAAAATTATCGGAATTCTTTCACGGTTTTCCTGCACCGGAAATAATATTTAACTGCGACATATTTTTATATTTTCATAATTAAAATAACAGAAAATAGATAAAACTTAATAATGAGATGCAAAAATTTAATTAAAAGTTTTATCATGTTGCAAAAATATTTAGTGTAATTTTATACCTGCGACAGGCTCTATCTTTGTAACAAACTATAATGTTGGAATTATACAGGTTGCGCCAGAACTTGCGCCCCAGAAAAAAATTTTCGAGTAAGGTAAGATACCAGGAATATGAAAAAAATGTTTAAAAAATTCTATCTGTCGAAAAATTTTGACATTTTTATTTTTTGACATTTAACATTTTGTTATGTCTATTTAATGATACTGATGATCTTGTATATGTTTTTTTGCAATTAGTAAAGGGACAAAAATTTTGCCAATAAAAGCCACAAATAACATTGAACAGAGATACAATTTAGGATGCAGCTTCCTTATTTCCTCTTTTAATAGCCTGTAGCAAAAAAACTTGGAAAATTATTTTTCCAACAGAAATAAATAGAGTCAAAATGCAAACTTTAAAACCTCATAGCTTCTAAATTTTTATAGATAAAATTTTTTCAACATTTTTTCCATGTTTCTGGTATCTTACCTTATATGGCATTTTGCTCTGAGGCGCGAGTTCTTGCGCATCCTGTATACATATTTATTTGCAAATAGAACAAAATGAATTAGGGTCCAATTAAAAGAGAAAACATACATTAATTATAATTTATAGGTATGTTGTTAGACATTATAAAAATTATTGTCGTTTTAAGATATTAAATGATATTTAAGTAATTAAATAATATTAAAAAAAACTATTTTAAATTGCTGGCGGATCTAAGTAGGTCTTGAGAGAGGTTACAACTATAAAACCAAAAAGATTTAAATCAAGCAATGTAAACCAATAATCACGCCGTATAGAATAAGAACTATGTCCGCAAAATAGTGCTACCAAATAAATTATGGCAACATTATTACGATGTATACATATTTTATTCTGTTTTTGACACCAACGCAACATGATACAATTTAGTGATAAGTAATAATTTAATTTTTTTTCAAGTTTAATAGCATATACTTTTTATAATAATATTTTTCATTTAATTATTGTATTTTATTTGTTGTATACGTATACGTAATTTACATACATATTTTTCAAAAAGTTTTAATAATCAATAAATACTTACAAGTATTTTTAGAAAAATTATATTTTATTTAACTCCCGATTAGGACTAGTAGATATATCTGATTACCGAAATAATTACAAATTGTAATTAAATATTTTTTTTATGAGTACTGTAAGATAGACACTTTACAAATTTGTACTAATTTAAATTTGGCATTTCTCTATGGGGCGCGATTTCTGTCGCAGACTGTATATGATATTGAAATGAGAATTTGAGATAAAATCAAAGTTGGTGACAGATCTATAAGCTTGATTACATCTCCAATAATAATTATTATTTTAATTAAATACGAAATAAATTGGTAACGGATAATATAAAAGCCTATAAAACTCTAGCTACAATTTAAACAACAGCGCTCTATTAAAATTGTGATTAGATTTATGACTTTTTTGATTACAAAAGGAATAGTATAACTGTAAATATAGTAAAAGTTTTAATAAAATGGACCAAATCCTCGTTTTAAGTGAAGTTTGTTAAATTTTTTCAAAACACTTTTCACCTTGAAAATTTTGTCAACAATTAAATAATAAGCATGTTTTCTCAGATGCAACCAAACGGTTGTAAAATTTCATTTGTATCGATATTTTTCAGATATTTTCTTAAAGAAATCACAAGCACAAACAGTTTATTTTTTTTTAAATGAAGTTTAAAAGCTGCTAAACAGCTTTTGATGTTTTAAAACATCATTAAAATCAATAAGATTGCGAATGGAGATGTAAATTTCTAATAAAAAATTATACTTTTATATAAAAAATTCACAAGTAATTTTAAAAGTGTACCCACCTACATTTGCATAATACAGTAGGTAGATAAAACGTGTACTTTAAAGTCTTTTTTTAATGCAAAAGTATGAAAGGCTATAAACATTATTGCAATCTACTCATAATTATCAACACATAATTGCATGTTTTTGGTATTTTTAATTTGATAATATTTACAAACACATACATACTAAGTAAGTATTTGAGTTTTTAAATTATCGAAATTAAAAAAAAAATAATAGAATAATACATACATAAGTTACATAAGTACAAAGTGAATAAAAAGTATAGTGCCTTCAGAAAATAATAATTAAACAAAATTAAAGTGCTATAAAACATATTCCACTTTGTCCAAGTAATTCTGGTAGGTGAGTACAAAATAAAACGAAATATTATACACGACGATAAAGATTGATTATTTACTCGTGAAAAAAGCCCACTCCTGACTTCGTTACTCGTGAACTTAAACAATTTCTTTATCGTCTTCTGTACCTAATACATAACTATTTTTTGATAAAAATCGAATACAATATAGTTTTATAGTGGGTTGACCTTTAAAAAAATTAAAATTTTGTAGAACATAATAGAGGGCGCAACTTCAATTCTATATAGCGTCGAAAAACTCGTAAAAAATGCAATATAAACGAAACTTGAATCTTGTGAGTACGTCATTCGAAAGTTTACATTGCAGTCGATGGTATTAGAAGTAATGAATTTCGGTAACAAAACCGTTTATTTGTTTTTTTTTTGGGTGAATTTTAAGATTGCGCCTAAAACTCTCCATATCTCAGAAACTATAAACATTCAGATAAGACAAGTTGAGTTATTTTTACATATTTTGTCCTCTACTACTTACAATTTCTACACAACTTTTAAAATCACCCTGTATGTACATAGAACTTATTCCATATCTGGTGGCGAACTGACAGTGACAGAAAAGACACTTGGAGTGCGCCCACTTGGTTAAGATAAAAAAAATACATGGGCGTACTTTTTTTTCTGTAAGAATTGTTATGAATATCATTTTTGAAGATTATTTTCATGTGTTAACAATTTAATAATTTGTTCATCATTCTTCATTTTATGTACGACTACCTACTTATTATTAATCTTTTAAGGAATAACAGTGGTTTTGAAATATTATTTCATACAACTTCAATCAACAACATTTTTTTTAATAGTAGTGTTTAGTGTCAAAATTCAGTCATTTTTGACAACGTCAGTTCGCCACGACATTTGGAACAAGCTCTACCTGTGCATGTCCAATCTTAGAAATGTAATTTATTGTTGTACGAGTATTCTATGATATTTAACTCAGCTATAAAAATTGCAATTTGTATAATAAAGCGATCATTCATAATAACGCACACCGTACGTAGTACAATGAATATTTCGTTGATGAAATAACAGTTGAAGCTCGCAAAATCCCATTGGGAGATTTTTTCCAGGTCTTGAACATTTTGTAGATGAGAAAACACGACATGACAAAAATAGAGTTTTCGATTCAGTCAAGAAATCGTTCAAAATTAACCCTTCTAAACATGATAAGCTCCCAAAGGAGTTATTTGTAAACACAAGATTATTCGGCAATTTTGAGTAAAGATTTCGGCGTAAAATGAACCGGGCACTAAGACGGAACACTTCAAAGGTGTGCCAATCCGAGTGGATGTAAACAAAGATGTGCGAATTACATCACAATAAGGAAGAAAAAGCAACAACATCAAATTGCACATAGCACAGCTTGTAAAGTATATGTGTAAGAGGCCCTCTCTAAAGTTATAACCGTTAAGGGTGCGACTGAAATGGCAATACGCACCGACACGGAGCTAAAGAGAAAGAAAGAATATCAGGTAAAGTTAGGGGTGTTTCTGTTGAAAGAGGGAGTGTCCTCAATTTCACCGCCCTCTTGATCATACAAACTCTCTCAAAACACTTACAACCAGTATTTGGTCATAGACAATCTAGTTGTTTGCTGACGATATTTATGTACTGACCGGAAACATAAAAATAACAAGTGTGCGTGTGGTTGGATAATATACGGGGTGGTGTGATTAAAAAATGAGTTCGCCGGTACGTGATATCGAAGTTAACGTTGTTTCAAGTCCGGAATCTTCAAGCAGGAACGGATCACCCGAACCGGAAAACTTCCGGTTAATCAACCATATCGCGACACCAAACATTACGTGTTTTCCGGTTATCAAAACAAGTGACGATGAAAAAACTGATAACAAGGATTTAGCCAAAGTTCAACAGAAAAGTTCAGGAGCTTCCACGAATTTTTCCATATCGAGTATACTGTCAAGAACCGAACCGGCGGTTAAGAAAAACGGTTTTCTCACTACCGGACAAAGTATTCTAGAGAGTGGAATTGCTAACAATGCTGATAGTGCGATGCTTTCACGGTGAGTCTCTAACTAACATTAATTTTAATTAAACATGACAGTTTTTAAGATATGTATATCTAATGATAAAAAAACGAAACAACCATCACCTTGCCTAATCTGATCTATTAACAGTCTTTTATAATTAAATATTTATATTAAAATGTCATAAAGCCTGTTATTAGGAATGTAAATTTAGTCGTGCATAAATGATAGTTTCCGTTTTTGGACACACGTTTTAGATTTATTAATATTGTTTTAATTAGCAGGGGATCCCTTTGTAAATTCGCAAGCAAGTTAACTCGCAAGGTTATTAACCCTAAATAGTTCCAAATCATGAGATAAAATCTTTTTTCGTCATAATTTTGCCTTTTTTCGTAGAAAAATTGTCGGAAACTGTTTTAATAAAAAATTACTCTCTAGGGTAATAAACATTTGCGGCACCCATTTTGCGACAAAAATTTTTAAATTTATTATACTTTCGGGTGCTAAAATAAGTATGTAATTTGAATGTACGCAAACTCATTAAAATTAAAAATTTTTCCAGTGAGGAATGTGTCACTCTTATTAATGAATGAAATAAAAGAGAGTTAAAACAGTAGCCACAGATAACGATGATAAATTTAAATCAAACAAAATACGTTTTAAATTCGATTCGCGAAATTTTTTAGATTTTATCCGCCGGTTTATTGTTGCTAATTGAAGTATTTACCAAAAGTGTAATTGTTTGCTTGTTAAATTACATAACAAACACGAAAAATCATGTCGATTTTTATAAAAAAAAATATTTATAACTTGGCAAAAATTTATTGACAATTTATCAAAAGATATACAAAAATTGTATGAACAAAATTCAATCTTTAGCGAATTAAAAAAACAAAAAACAAACGAGGCTACTAAACTAATTTTTTCTAAATCACGCTATCAATTTTACCAAAAAATTGTTTTTTTCATGAGAAAAATTTGGCATTTCTTAACTCAATTCATAGCTCTTATTTTCGCAGTTCTGCAGGAATATAATATACCAATTTAAAATAATACGTGTTGGAAGAAAATTATATAACATATTGACTTTGTTTCAAAACTTGTTGATTTTTTATGTAATATTAAACATATGTTCTGCACAAACTCAATAAATTTAATTTATTAGATACTCAAGTTTGTGCTAATTTTAAAACATAAAAAAACGTGTTACAGCATAAATTAAAATTTAATATCACGAACAGGTTTTACTCATCTAGGAGACGTTCTAAAACACGCTTAATTATCTTAATTATCCTATTAAATAACAAGATTTGAATTTTAAATTGGGGTAATTAATGTAAAATTGGTATTTTTGACCTAATTTGATCTTTGATTGGAAGCTTTGCGCGTTCCAAATATTCTTGAAGTAAATTGGAAAAGGAGTGCTAAGTCATATAAGAAACTTTCAAGGGGCCTTAGAACATAAGATGATTATAAGATCATCCCTTCAGGCGTCTTCTTATAATCCACAAAAGCCAAGATTTAAGACTTGACATTCTTGACAGTTTTTATCAACGTTTTCAGCATTCTCATGCGATTTATTATTCGTTATTTTAACACTCTATTTGGGTGAATTGAACAGTAAAAAATAAAATACCAATTAAATATTTATCGGCTGAATATAACAAATAAATTATACCTATATTACTAATGGCTGATGTGCTATAATAATTTACATCGCTCTTTTCGTTCAATTTATGGCAGAATGGTTTCCATTGATTTAGATAAATTTCGATGTGAAATGGGTAAAAACGTTGGGCGATCGAGTTGTAGACTTGTTTATCGATCATGTCGCAATATCGAGCCACTTAAACTGGTAGTATAAGCTTCTTAGGGAATTCTGAGGAAGTCTTCTTCCGCTCAGCGAGTTCTCTCTTTGAAGAAGAACACTTAACTTGATGCAAATTTAATGGCAGATAGACTTAGTTCACAGATTGCCCCAAGGGACCGCCGGAATATCGATTCACCAGCACCTCCTTTTTAATTTTTAACGGTGATTTAATACCAACTTTATAATGCCTTAAGTGGAGATTCTCTCCCCGGAAGAAAGTTTCGACAAACAGCGAACTTTCCTCAACTCGAATATAATTAATTAATCGTCGATGTTTGTTCTTTCAGGTTGGGTCTCATGACGCATTTCGGAGCTCTTGCGGCCGCCAGCAGCAGATATGCCGCTCTTTGCGGCGGCCCCACGGACCCGAGGACGTTACCATGGTATTGGGGACGAATACCCTCGCAATTACCGCAAGAAAAATCCAGCCCTAACGGTGAGTGATTTTGCACCTAAATGGAAATCTAGGGAAAGCAGATTAACATCGAGGTATTTTTATTGTTGGAAGCGATTGTGTTTCGTGTAACTGTCAATGCTGTTCAATCCGCATTTCTACGGCTTACGTCGATTAGACTCAAACTTAGCGTAAGGTTTCGGAAACCATTTTCGTGCTGTTTAAATACGCTCTCAAATATTATCGGAAAATCTCAAGCGCTGAAGAAGCGAGTCAAGGTGATCGATCCATGAACCAAGGATATGTCACACTTCTTGAGAAATTTTAAAAGTTTGCCATAATTGTATTACAAGTTATTACTATTATTATCGATTTAAGATTAGTTTGTAGTTTGTACGCAGTGGTCTTTTGTTCTTTTCGACTTCTCCCATTTTTTAATGCAATTTCAATTTAAAGACTCAGTGCCAGTAATTTTTATATAGATAAATATTTCTCATTTTTGTTTCTTGTGTGTTTTACAGTTACAGATTTTGTAAAAGTCAAAACTAACGCCTTATTTATACAGGGTGTGTCAGAACTCGCGCCCCAGAGAAAAATTTCAAGTAAAATAAGATACCAGGAACAGAAAAAAATTATATCAAAAAATTTTGACATTTGACATTTTTATGCCTATTTATTGATACTGATGATCTTGTATGTGTTTTTTATAATTATTTAGTAAAGATAAAAAAATTGCCAAAAAAGCCATAAATTACATTAAACATCAGAGTTACAATTTAGGATACAGCTTCCTTGTTTTCTCTTTTAATGGCTTGTAGCAAAAAAACTTAGAAAATTATTTTTCCAACAGAAATAAATAGTCAAACTGTAAAATTTAAGCTCTCATAACTTCGACATTTTTAAAGATAGAATTATTTTAACACTTTTTCCATGTTCTTGGTATCGTACATGGCATTTTTCTCTGGGGCGCGAGTTCTGCCGCATCCTGTATTTATACTGATGTCAAACAATAGGTACAGAATTTAGCCAAAATAAACAAAATAAATAAATGTTGTTAGATTTGCAAATGTGTTTTGATTTAATCGTTACGAAAATTAAACAAAAATTCAAAAATGTAAACTGATGATTTAAACTGTAAATAAATACATCGTTTGTTTCAAAAGTAAACAAAAATAAATTTAATAAATACAGGCTGTGTCAGAACTCGCGCCCCAAAGAAAAATTTCAAGTAAGGTAAGATAGCTTCCTTGTTTCCTCTTCTAATAGGCTGTTCCAAAAAAAAACTTTTTTTTTATATAAATTTATTTCTTTTATTGTCTAAGTGTAAGGTGAAATTCTTGTACAACTGACCTAATTGACCTTCTTCTAGTTTTCTGATAATGCAAGTTCTTATCATTTCTCTTGTTTGCGGAGACATAATATCCAGTGCAAAAAATGACTTGTGTAAAAACTGACATCAGTGACAACATATAAATTCAAAGAATTTTAAAAGGAAGTAAAGAAACCATAGAAACAGTCTGAAAATTTTCCCATACTTATTTTTTAAGATTATACAACTACCATAAACCTCATTACCAGTAGTTACGGCAATCTATTGTAAAAGTATTAGAACCCACGCGCCCTTGCAATAAATTACTTTTCGAAGACTGGTTGTTTTCACCGACTCGGTCCAGCTCCAAGTAAGGTTACAGGTAAAAATCTGCTTAAAAATTTACGATTGGGATTTCTGTTCAATAGGATATCGGTTATCACTTACACAACAGACTAATTTTATCATGGCCATAATTATAATCTTAGAGAGAATAAGTACGACTATACACGATGAAATAATGCAGTGACGGACACGAATGTTGGTCATCGAATTTATATCAGTTCAAAAAATGTCAATGTAAGCCACGCTTGCCGTTTGAAACTACATATAAAATTTGAAATTTATTTTTGGCTTATATTATTCGGAACAATAATGCCAGCAATACGTGTTTCATATTAAGTTCAATAAATTATTTTGACTTGTCATTTTTGCTCTAGCTATCAGGATAAAAATTACAAAAACCGAAAGTGAGGTTAGTTGCCTAAGGCCCGTTTTACATTTTTATGTCAGTCGAATGACAAATCGTCCAAAATTCCGTGGCCGCCAGTGTACACTTTACTTTTGAATAGAAAGAAGTGTATATTCAAAAGTGGAATTGTGATTATTTTATACTAATAAGGAGTTTTTGTGTTGTGTGTTTTTTTTACTTTTATACGTTAGAAAGGAAGCGATCCATCAATAAAATTAACTTGGAAGAGTTTGAAAACTATAATTTCGATTATAGTTTGAGGTAGAATTTAAATCCGAGATAAATTCCCGCTTTACTACGTAACAATCCCAAAAGCACTGACGACTGCAAATCGTTGGAAATTTAGTCGAATTGAAAAACAACTGAGACGAATAGGTTCGCTGCTTAAAACTAAAAAACGTGTGGTTCTTAGTGAAGAACAAGAAAATAGAAATCTGAATGTTCTGTTATCAGTCGAAGAAAATCCAAGAGTTTCCATAAGAGAACTCGCTCATCATAACACTGACAATTTAGATTTGTCAAACCAACAATTAAACTGTATCCAAGCATTTTTTATTCACACCTTTCTTTTAAAATTAAAAATCAGGCTACGCGACCAATTTCCTTATAAAATTCTAAGATTTAAGATGCTTTCTGATTGCATTGTGTTACGCAAAATGTAATAAATATTGTTTCGAGAGGTGTTCTATATGAAAAACTAAATTGGGTAGCATTTCTGGCAACACCGGATGTGCTAAAAAAATTTGATACATTTACTAACAAACACAAGAATGAATATTATTACTTAAATATTTACTTTTTGAAAAAATGAAGTAAGTTTAGGTGTTATCAGCCGAGGCGACTTGGACCGAACACCCTGTATATATTTTTTGTACTAAAATTAAGATTTCAAAAAAAAAACGAAAACATGGGTCAATTATTTTTTAATAAAGATTCAGAATATGCAATAACAGTTAAAAAGCTTAAATATTTCAACAAACAAATACAAAACAAATTAAGTATAACAGCTAAATCATTTTCGTGTTCTTGTGACCCAAATATTGACGAGTAGGCCTTTAAAAAAGTAATCTAACACTCTTCTTCTCCCGCCGAAAAGGTTTGAAAAACAAATCTAAAATAGTATTGTAAAACGATTAAAATAAAACAAGATCAACTTTTACTAAACCGCCATATTTTAACGCAAACTAGTTAATTCAATTAAGTTCTTAAAATATAAGCACCTGAAACACCTTTTTCATGTCATACGGTTTTTACGACATACTTAAGTCTTCGTCTTTTGACACATTTATGGTTTTTTCAGAGTAATTATTTTTAATTTGTCACCGGTTTATAGACACAATTAAGTAATAAATTTACAGAAAGCTTTTAATTTACATAATCACAAAATTTTACAATGGTTTATACACCCTGTATAAAAAAAAAAGATGCTTAAGCTGTTCACTACGCTATAGAAAACGTTCCAACAAGTCCTAGAAAAATAATAAACAATTCCTTCTCAATCATTCTTATCAGTATGAAGAAAAAAGTTGAGAATTACGCGCTAAAAAATATGTATTCGAATAATGAATTTGCAGATATTATTTTAATCGGTGAATGCCTTGACAATGTAGGTGTTTGAAGCATTGAGTTTGTGTGTACCTAAGTAATAATAAAATGCTTTAGAATTGAGATTGCTCCTCTAAATATTTCACAACAATTAAAATAGAAGTATGGCAAATATACCGAAATAGTACTACAACAATTAAAATAGAAGTATGGCAAATATACCGAAATAGTACTACGTTGACAATTTTACCATACAGTTGTAATTTACCTAATCGTATTAATTAGGTACCTACTTGAATCTCATTTCACACGAAGTAAATTATGTCTGGCGGGATTTCAAACACACCTATTTGTCTGGATGAGTAATTAGTACCTATTTTATTATATTTAACTAATTATTGGTAACAGGAAATCAATAGTAATTTTCTTTTCAGGATGTTCCACCAACGATGACCAATCCCCGCCCATCTCGCCCCGCGACACCCAAAACACCTCAACCACCCTCGAAACCAGCCGTTCATCTCGCCCATCGTCACCCTCAGACAACCCAAGATCACCAGGAAGCCCCCATCACATCCCCTCGAGTCATCCCGCCTTCCTTGACCAGAACTACATTCGCTCAAAAAGTCCATACCGGGACAACGACAACATGATCATAGACGAAGAAGTCGAAGAAGACGAAAGTGACTACGACAACGACAAAGACAAGAAAATGCCAAGCTCGAGTTTAAGTCCTGGAAACTCTCTCTCCAACAAACGGAAAAAGAAAACGCGAACTGTGTTTTCCAGATCACAGGTGTTTCAACTAGAGTCGACTTTTGACATGAAGAGGTACTTGTCGTCCTCGGAACGAGCGGGTCTAGCGGCGAGTCTCCACTTAACTGAAACCCAAGTCAAAATTTGGTTCCAAAATCGGCGAAATAAATGGAAGCGGCAGTTGGCCGCCGAGTTAGAGGCTGCAAATATGGCCCATGCGGCCCAGAGACTCGTCAGGGTACCCATTCTGTACCACGAATCGGCCAACTCGACTATACGACACCCATTTGAGCAGAACCACGCTTTGAGTCTGCACCATCCTCTCGAAGTGAGCAGAGACGGGGGGACCAGTGGTACTTCCGTAACATCTCCCACAGGGTACCCCAGTTCTTTGTATTACCATCACCAAGCCGCTGTTGCCGCAGCAGTGCATAACCTACCATCCAGTCCAGTAAATCGGCCGCCCATGTCTGGACTTGTGTGAACAAGTGCATATTAAAAATATGGGTTTTTGTGCAAATTTTTGTTATCAAAATAAAATTGTTTTCTCGGCCTCATTCACAACATACGAGTACGTGCAAATTAGTTTCTTTATTATTATTGTAGAAATGCTTCATGTACATAACTGACTGTAACTATTATATTTATTTATTTATGTAGCTAATTGTACATACTGAAATTTATAAGCAGCTACCACAGTTACCTATAAGCCAAAAATAATTAGTTAATATTTATGTGTATAATTGTGTAGTAAACAAATGTTGTTACAGTGAATAAATGGAACTGAAAGATACTTGTTTCATTTTTCTTTACCTGCTTTAAAAATCAATTCAAATTATATAATGTGATCCAACTTTCATTTGCTTTCTATACGATCAACTAATAAACACAAAATTCTTCTACTACCTAGAGGAAGAGTAAAAAATATAAAACCAAGCGTTTTCTGGTTAAATTGTTTGCTTTCAAAAATTTACTTATTAATTAAAAATAAAAAAATGTGGTTATTTTTCTGAATTTTTAAATATTGCAATTATTTTTTTTTAACTAAATTCAATTACATACATTCTCGTAGTAGTTGTAAATTTTAAATCATAAATCATGTATAAGGTAGTATTTATTTAAAAAATAAATCAAATTTGCATTACTCAAAATCGCTAAACAATTTTAAAATATGTTCTATCTTAATCACATTTTTTAGTACTTTATTATCCGTCAATCAGTTTTTCGAAAAGCAAATAGTTCAAAGTAAACATTTGGTTCCATACTTTTAGCTCATCCTGCACAAGTCAATTTTAAGTATGTATTATTTTTAAAAAGTTTCAAACAAAAATTTTGAGGGATTATGTATTAAAAACCGTTTTTTTAAGATTTCAATTAATTTTAAAAGTTTATCAGACCACTCTGTAAAATTTAACCGACAAATTCTCTTCTAATGTATTTTTTATTATACAGGATAATGAAAAAAATTCGCCCACGATTGAAACAGGCGCGTCCTTTTTTATTGAAACATTGTGAACATCATTCCAAAAATAGTCTAAATAGATTCTCTTTAAAATTTAAACAGTTTGTCTAACAGCACAAAGCGGCAATATTGCACAAATTTCTTTTACTAAAAAACTATTTCACTCAGGTATTTTTCGTATCTAGGAATCCTTTTTGACTTTAATCGTTCAAATTTCACAGAACAAACAACATTGAAAATTGATTTTTTTGTTGCTACCGTTTCCAATAATTGAATATTACTTGGACATTTTCTGTATCCTAGGATATTTGCAATGTTGCAACATTGATAAATTTTCTTTGGAGCCAAGAAATGGTATCCAAACATCTTCAATATAGTTTATTTCAAAAGATTTTTTACACATTTTTTTTAAGAACACCGTCAACAGTATCAAAATCTAGACTTTAACAATGAAATTATTTTAAAACTGTTAATTATATAGATTTCTCTTTTCTAAAAAGGAAAGTCTATATCTTACTGATAAGAGCGCAAATCCAATTTTGGTCTTCGAATTCGTCTTTAATAAAAGATCACTTATAACGTGTGGGTTAACACGGGCGCATTTTTTTCATCATACTGTATAGTAAATTTGTCTTTTATATGTATTAAAAAAAACAATTTTTGTTGTCTGAAACTCTTTTTTATTGCAGAATTATTTCTAACCTAATAGGAATCACAAAAGTGAAATAATTATATTGATTATCATCGACAGACGAAAAAAATTACTGAAGTAAATTCTTCGTCCGCTATACTGACACTGATGTAATAAGGTTTATTATTTTTACGTACGATGATGGATTTAATACCACAAAAAATAAATCTAACAACTATTTTAACAGAGCATTACTTTATTAAGTCTAGTAAAACATTTTAGCCAATTTTTTATATTAATACTCATCATTTGAAAAGTTTCTAAATATCAAAATTATAAGCTAAATAATTTAACAAATCAACAAAATTTATTTGCTGAAGCTCCCCGAGAATATTTAATTTGACCTAAAGAATTCAGGATATTTATAAAAAGTTTTAATTAAAATTTTACTCTGACACCAGCAAGTAAACAAATGTAAAGAGTTAAATTTATGACAGAACATTATTTTTAAATATTTCAACAGATATGAAAAATTTTTGAAAGTCTGGAAAATGTTAAAAATGACAAACAGCTGACCTCCAACTACCAAAAGATAAACCTTATTTATACTAATACTTTTGTAAAAAATATTTTTTTCATTTTGTATTGATTTCTTGAAGAAATATTAAATCTATATGAGAATAAATATAACTTCTCATCATATAATTTTTTTTTATCATTAAAGAAATTATGTCAATGTTCTCAAAATAGTAGATTTGTCCCTACATGAATTGTATCCCAAGCTTGTTTTGATAATATGTGTAATACAATGTTGTGTTACTTTTAATATACTTTCGAATGATTTTCATAAATTTACAAATCATTTTTAAATGGATAGTCAGTTTTGTAACATCAGATGTATATATTATTTTGAGAACAACCTATGTATTTATTTGATGACCGATAAATTAATACCCAGACTATATTTCGCTGCTCTTATTGTCTGACGTGTCTGTAATAGACTTTTTAGTGTAATAAAAATGCTCAAATTGAAAACTATTAAATTCGGCGAACCCGGCCAACTGGTCGTAAATATTTTTTGTTAGGCTCAGGTGGTGCACGACAATGTGTGCATTCTAAACGAGTGGTTTAATTAAAAATCAGCAATAATCACCATGCGCATCTAAATTGAAGGTTATCCAATAATATTTTTTTAATTACCGGCCCCTAAATCGACTAGATCCCCGATAAGTATAGGCGTGAATAATGAAAAATTCCGTTAGATTTCTAATAAAATTTTTGGCAGTTGTGTGGTGCGTATGAAAATAATAATTATAATTAGGGAGTGTTACGCATATTAAAATCGCAATAAGCCGAGATGTTATCACCCGATGGCAAAATTAGATATTCTGCAAGCAGACGTTTATTATTCGTACAAATTCGGTTGTTACATCTCCACCCTCCTCGAAATTTTGACGTTATCGAGGTAATTAGTCCATTAATAAGACAACACTTAGTGTCGTTTTTTGCCTCATTATGTATTCATTAGGAGCACCAATGGATGCGATGGGATAATACAATTATACAACTAAAGGTGGAGATCCATTGTGACGGAAAAAACAGGAAGGCAGTACTTACAGGATTAAATATTATTCGTCGACAATAGCGACGCCCCTGTCACACAATATCACTCACCCGTGAACCTCCAAAAACTGTTATTTCGCAATTTCAAAGTGCGTTAATTGCGACTTTCCGATTTGGAGAAACCGCGGGAGTTTGCTTTTACAAAACAAGGTACGAAAAAAGGGCGGTTGGGGCGCTAATGCCCGGTTGTCATCCCGAAATAATAGCATCAAACCGACTCCACAACTGTTTTAAGACGCCAGGGTGAAAGCAATTTGAGGGGTAAACAGCGGTGCCCAATTGAACTTATCCAGCACTATCAAATCAAAGATTAGCGATTGCTTTTAATTCGAGTTTAACTTTAATCATGTCGTTTCGAACATCTGGTATTCTCCTATGAATACAATACAATGAAAGGATGGTCGTTTTGAATTCGCTCACATCATTTTAATAGGGACTGCTTGACTCAGATTACATGCGCTGATGGTCTTTCCTTTTACAAAGATTAATCGCGATACTAGGCTTTTTAGATATTTATTCGGCGGCAATAAAGGTTATTGCATGTAAACGATACAGACGACAAATTGGAGAATTTTACTGAAAAATCGACAAAGATTGAATCGAATAGATTTTAATATTGGGACCAAGAAAGCAAAGTGAAGAAGTTTGATCTCAAACGTCTCAATTCACGAGAAGAAAGATTTTTTTTTGTAAATGTACTTACCTAATAAAAATCATTCCAAAAAAATATATGTAATATGAATTAAATTAAATTAGTAAATTATTTTTGCCCCTAAGATGAAACAGAAAAAACAACAATTTTATAAATACTTGAAAGAATTTTTTAATTTTCAGTAAAAAAATATTAAAGGCAGCTTAAAATTTTATTGTTTAGTTAAATATTAAACCCAACATAAAAATTAAAAACAATTAACGATACAATTTTCATAAGAATGGGAAATAAACAAGTGAGAAAGCCTTTGTAGCTTCTATAAAACAATTTATAGTAAATTACACAATAAGATTAGAAAATTCTAGTTTTACTAGTGGTTATTCGGTAAGTACACCATCGGTGGACATAAAAAACTGGAACAAAAATGACAATTGTATAAGTCAAAAACTCAAAAGTTTACATCAGATAAATGTGACTTTTTATAAATAAGGTTATTAAAGTTATGACATATTGTCAGAAACAACAAGTTAAAGATCAAATTTTTAATGATGTTTCTACATTTATAAGAATTCTATAAATTACACAATTGATCTAGCATCTCTTTAGATTCAAAGAGCTTTAACGGTCATCTTTAGATTGCTTATAATTTTGATTTTGAGTACAATTCAAAAGATTGATACACAATGAGAAAATTTTGAATGTCCCGGTTTTTATGTCCACCGATGGTCCTTTAAAAACCATAAGACTTTATACAGGGTGCGCCAAAACTCGCGTCCCAGAGAAAATTTTCAAGTAAGGTAAGATACCAGAAACATGAAAACAATGTTTAAAAAATTCTGTCACAAAATTTTGACATTTATTTTTTGACATTTGACATTTTTTTATATCTATTTAATGATACTGATGATCTTGTATATGTTTTTTTACAATTATTTAGTAAAGGGACAAAAATTTAGGATACAGCTTCCTTGTTTTCTCTTTTAATAGCCTATAGCAAAAAAACTTAGAAATTATTTTTCCAACAAAAATAAATAGAGTCAAAGTGCAAACTTTAAACCCTCAGAACTTCGAAATTTTTATAGATGAATTTTTTTTAACAATTTTTCCATGTTCCTGGTATCTTACCTTATATAGCATTTTTCTTTGAGGCGCGAGTTCTGGCGCAGCCTGAATATGTATAAACTCATTTATAATAAAACGACTTTTTTTAAGGTATATGTGAATGTACTATATACAGGATCACTAAAAAGTATGGATACAGCTAAATATATTCAGAACAATTTAGCAGAGCACGTTGAAATTTGGGAAACAGTTTACCTATTTTCTGGTCAAAGTTCAGG